TGCCCCCGCGTCCTGTCCTCCGCAGGCCCCCTCAGCCTACCGCTCCCCTGGAGGACCCGCGCGCGCCCTGCTGGACGACCGCAGCCCGGGCCCCCGTGATCACGGCTGGGCAGGCGGGGCCAGCCGCCGCCTTGGCGGGGGTCCGTACACGGAGGACCGGCAGCACCGCTGGCCCCACAGGGACGGTCTTGACTGGGGCCAGAGTGGTGACGGGGGCCGGCGCTGCAGCAGCACAGGGCGCAGAAAGCAGTACAGCAGTGGGGGCATGCGTGCGCTATCTGCACTGCGCGGCGGCTGCGACAGTGATGAGGAGAGCCACGCACAAGAGGATGCGGTCAGCTGCCACTCGGCGCCGTTCCTGTCATGGCAGGAGGATTTGTCCCGGAAGCTGGGCGGCGTGATGCGCAAATTGCACATGTGAGCAGGTGGTCATGCGTCTGCAAAGTTACATGGGTTTGCATGCTTATCCGCGCAACAATTGTTTGTTTTCAAAACCAATGAGAAACAGAGAGGCTGAAGCAGTCAACATATTACTGCCAGGGTGAGAAGGGGCAGGGCACCATGAACGAGGTGGTGAATGTCTGCACCCCCGGGGTCACGGCCGCAATGGTCTCCCGCCACTTGGGCACCTGGCGTGCCGCCTGCCGCGCCCTGCAAATGAGGCATGCAATGGGAGGTCCACCAAAGCGGTTTGAACCATCGGCGTCGTCACGACTTAAAGACCTATAGGCTTGCCCCGAAGGCCTTGCCCCGCATGCCAGCCCGTCAATAGCTGTAGCGGAAGTGCGAAGCACGCGTCTGTGCGCAGCCCGCCCACACACCTGATGCATGCTGCCGCGCTGGGGTAGCGCCATAGCTCCATGACGTTGTTGAGGATGCCCACGTCGCTGTGCGCCAGGGCCACCAGGCGGCCCTCAGGGTCGGCGGCAATCTTGTCCGGCAGACTGAGTGGGGTCCAGGGTGGGAGACGGGGTGGGGGCTGGCAGGCGGAGGAGGGGAAAGCAGCTACTCTCGCGGTGGCCGGGACAGCCCACGACATCTCGCAGTCTCACGTTTGGCCATGCGATGCTAATCTCATTGCTACAGCAAGAAGCAAGCCGGCCGCAGGCAGGCTTCTATGCGCAGCCAGCAGGAGGTGCCCCTGGGGCGTAGAGACCATTCATGCTGCAAAATGCGGCGGTTGCGCCCACCCGCAAGCGTGTCACTTGCGGCAACCAACCCCATACGTGCTCTTGCCTTCCAGCGCGAGGCCTCGTCCTCTCACCCCTCTTCAAAGGCCTTCAGCAGCTTTGGGACGGAGCCATACCCTGGTGACAGCTGGTACTGCCGCCACTCGTACAGCCCGGGACCATCCCCGCCGGAGGGCGGCGCAAAGCTTGCTGCACCAGGCGCACCGGTCGCGCTGTAGATGACCTGATTCTCCAGCATGATGCGCGACTCCTGGGGCGTTTGGTCGGGATGAGCGCAAGGCAGGGGGGCTCAGCGCACAGAGGCGTGTGTGGTGTGGACATGACGTGCAGCCTGTCTGGGGCATGAGTGATCATGTCATGCAGCCAAGAGAGGCATAGCTTTCGTCACTCCAGGAGTTGCCAAGCCAGGCCTGTGCTTCCCAAACTTGCAGAAAGGCATCACAACACCGAGCTCAGGATTTGGCAGCCCGCCAGGCTCACATTAATCAGCACCCAACCCCTCCTCTCCCAGATACCCCACCCGCAGCCTCGGCGCCCCGGGCCTCCCAGCCCCGCACCTGCTTGACCATAAATTTGCGGCCGATGTCGACGTAGGCGCTCCAGGCCTGGTTGCGTGCCGCCGCGCTGCGCACCTCCTCCCTGTGGGCCATGGACTCGTAGCTGTAGAAGTGGGCCACCTTGTTCAGCTCACCCCCCGTGTCGCACGTGAACATGCTGGGAGGCGGGGGTAGGGGCAAGGACTGTGATGCAAGTGGGACGGCCCATGTGGCGCTGACCGTGATCATCCATGAAACATGTGGCATGCGCTGGCCCATTTCCTCGTGCTGATTGATTGCGCTTGCTCATCGCTGCCCTGTTCTTGGTTCGCAGGACAAGTCCTCCCACTCCCATCGAGCCCCGCCGTCACCCACAGCCCCTGGTGCACCCCTCACCCCAGGAAGGGCAGCAGGTGCGCCCGCAGCTCAGCGTGCTCCGCCGTGATTCTCAAGTATTCCTTCATGCCGGAGGGCGCCAGCGTGTACTCGCGCACCTCAAGCAGGCTGCCCACTTTCGGCGCCGCCCCCAAGCTGTGAGCGGCACTTGCCAACCCCCTCATGCCCCCGCCCTCCCGGAGATGGCACGGCGCCACAAGCCGGGCGCCCAGCACGGCGCGCGGCAAATGCGCGGCGCATGTTCTCGCGGCAAGCATCATGGCTCAGGCGTTGGCTGCTGCACTACAGTAGGCCTTCTCACGTCGCCTTGGACCCGAGCGGCGTGCCGGCAAGTTGCCTGGCGGCACAGCGCAGCGCAGCACTGCGCTGCTGCAGCAACGCTATAGATACTTGGAGTGATTCAAATTGAATTTAATATCACCGCACAGCCGTACAAAGTGAGTCAGCAGTGAGGCTGATCTGCTTGTAGAAGGGGTGTGGAGTCTCAGTCTCAGAACTACGGTGCTGCATATACATACAATACAGTGAATCCACCGATATTTTGCTCTGCGCAACGTACAGGCAGGCTGATAGAGGAAAGGCGCAGATCGGTGCCGCGATCTTGAAGGTGGGTGGGGGCGTTGTCGGCTCCCCCAGGGCCCCTCGATCGCTTCCTTCAAATGCTTGCGTCCAGTCGCGACGGACTGTCATGAGGCACGACGCCACCAGGGCATCCGCTCATTGACGCACACACAAACTTGAACAGATGCTCGGGAGACGGAGCTTGGGGGCGCGGGGACAGGTTCACGTCGCCAGCAGGTAACAGAGAACGATACATTGCAGACGGAATTGCCAGGAGCCCTTCCCACAGCGGCCGCACGCCGCACCTGCCTGCTGGGTTGGCATGCAGGCACGCACCGCAGCAGTAACAACCCTGCGCCCATCCTGTGCGCTTAGGAATCCCAGCCGTGCCGTAATCCCAGGCCTGCGCAAAACGGCGGAACAGCAGAGGGGTGAGCGCTGCGTTGGCCGCAGTTGAGAGCAGCGCTCATTTTTGGCTCGTCCCAGCCAACAGCCAGCGGCTATTGCGGCAGGCATGATAGACCTCGTGAACAAGCAGCGGCAGCTGTTGGAAAAATCCCTGCAATCGTCCAGCACACCACCACCTAAACCCGGCGTGACTTGCAGCAGCTGGATAGATATGCGCTGCTGTCGCATGAGGCACGCACGAGCCTCACGCCTCCAGTCTGGGCGTCGCACGTGCCCATCACGCAGGCCGCGCCGTGGTGGGGGCCGCAACCACCTGGCAGGCCTGGGAGTCGGTGCTGCCCGAGTGGAAGAGCCACAAGCCCGAGGCCGCCATCGCCTCTAACAAGGACGACCGCACCAAGCTCGCAGCCGCTGTTTCCAGCGCCGCCAAGGCGTGGAAGCCGCCGCCGAGCCTGGCGGTGCCCAGCATCGACGACATCGGCCCCGATGTGCCCCGCAACCTGCACGAGCGGCTCGCGCTTGTGGCGCGCCTGTCGCTCCAGGAGTACCTTCAGGACGCCGTGGCGCAGCCCACTGTGGTGGAGTTCACCACGACAGACGTGACCGCCGCGCTGTCTGTGGCGGGCGTCATCGTGTCGGACAAGGGCAAGCGCACGGTGGGCGCGAGTCTGGGGCTGCTGTGTGCGGCTGAGGGAGCATCCGTCGGGCGGCGTGGCTTGATGGGCGATGTGGCAGGTGTGGTGCTGCGAGATGGCTGCGCAGCTGGCCGGATGGTGGACCTCACTTTTCAGCATGGTTTGACACTGGAATCCGCCAGCATACGGGCACGTGTTCGGCCCCAACCCAATCAAACACTTGGGAACGCCAGGCGATTGCTTCCCTGGTGGCGTGTGAGACCGAGCGCCAGATGACGTGGTCCCGACTGGAGGGGCTGCGCTTCCACTGGGCCGTGGCCTCGGGGCCCAAGGGCCAGTGGGAGCTGCCCCCGCGTGGCTGGAAGACGCTGCCGGACACCACGGGTGAGGGTGGGCTCGCTGGGAGAAAATGCCACAGCAGTGGCGGTTGTGGGGCAGGCAAAGGGCCAGGGGCCAGAGGCAGGGCGCAGCGGCAACGCGCCCACCCTGAGCAGGCCGCAGCAGCAGCGCTCCCACCCTAACTGGCTGCTGGCCCGTGTGCTCACGGCATCCTCTCACTGCGCATCCTCTCACTCCCCCGTCAACTCTGCCGCTGCCTTGCCATCCAGTGGACGCGGGTGGCGCGTGGCAGTCTACCTTTGAGAAGCACCCACTGCCACAGCCGGGCGGCGGGCAGGGCCCGGGTGAGCTTGGGGACTGGGGCGAGGCTTTCCGCCCCTGGGACCCGTTGCACCTCACGCTCGATTGCAAGCAAGGCCCTCACGATGACTCCTTGAAGCCCCACCAAGCAGGGGGTATCCAGCATAAGCATTCTCGATCGTCATTCTCTGGCCCAAGCCATGACCATCATATCGTACCCTGTGGGTGAACGCTGTAATCACCCTTCCTCGCGCCTCGCACCCAGAGCCCATGTACACAATGCTGCTGTCAGTGCCCCTGGAGGGCCCCCTGGAGAAGGGAGGCGTCATATTCGTGCTCAGGTGCGGGGCAGAGGTGGAGGTGATGGCGCTCTGGTGCTGAAAGGTTTGCTGGGGCTGCCGACAATGTGGCCGTGGCCACTGCAAGCACGCTCACGGCCCGCCTACTGCATGCGTTGCCCCTAACGCAGGAGCGGAGGTGTGGGGCAGAACACGGCCTGGCTCAAGGTAAGGTACTGCACAGGATGATGGGAACGTTCTTGGCTGGCGCCACCCCAAGTTGGGGCACTGTGCTGGCCTGCCCTGCGCCTTGTGTTGACCGTCCAGCCGTGAGCCAGCCTAATTGCACTCCCCCTCTTTCCTTCCTCTCATTCAGGATGCCTCCACCAAGAGCGACTTCTTCCTGCCTGTGCAGAAGTTTGCTACGGCCTAATTGATTGACACAGTTGGCCACCCTGACCCGCATGACAGAGCTACTAAGACGCCGATTGCAGCGGAAAAGGGATGCACAGCCGGCTGCACCGAGCAATGCCGTCCCGCGCACCTCTTATCTGCACAGCGCCCTTGACTGCAATGGTCAATCTCTTGCATGCTGTGGTGTTGTGTAATGCGCAGTTGGTTGTCTGCAGAGGGAAGTGCCGGGTTGCACTGGTGGGGCTTGCAAGATCATAACAATCATATTAATTTCCGATTGTGCAGCCGGTGTAACAGGTGGCTTTATTTTTGGGTGGTTGGGGTGGGTGACTCTGAACAACTCCAGTAGGCTGGTGCAGGTGCCAGTCGGCTGGGGCTCCAAGAGTCCGCACGCTGGCATGAAGGCCGTTGATAGTGGGGACGGGGGCCGATTCGCTGACCAGTCCATTAGCGCAGACATGGGACGCTTCACCAATCAACCGTGCCTGTGTCACGTTATCGCAACCGTAACCCACATTATTGCCTCCCACGCAGTCAAAGGTCGGCTTGCCTGGCAACGCAACCTGATACATGACCAGGTACATGACCGACCACCCTGCCCCTGTGGCACACTTCAAGGCGCATGGTACATGACTACATATAAAAGGTTCAGCATTGCACTAGTGCTGCTCCCTGGCGACTCTCTGGCCGCGTCAGCCACTCGAAACGATGCTCGCGCGACAGGTCCCATCTAAGACCGTGGCGGGCTGCCAGAAGCAGCGGGCTTCTGTTTCTCGTACGCGGGTGGCGGTACTGGCGCAATGGAGCACCCGGGCTGACGCAACGCAGGAGCGCGCCGCACCGCACGTTCTGCAGAGGGTCGCGGCTGCTGCCGCTGCTGCTGTGGTCAGCTCCTCCATGCTGCTTGCGGGTGAGACGCTGATCACATTGGCCCTTTGTGCGGCTGCGGCGCTGCGCGGCTGGTTGTTGGCCGATCACAGCTGGGGAACGTCCTGCCGCCGCGCTCGAGTCGATGATGTCTTCGCTGAGCTTTGCAGCACGCTCTGGAAGCCACAGTGCCAGTGGAAGCATGCTCTTGGAGGCCCACCCATCGCTCTGCCTCGTCCTGATCCGTTCGCCCCCCTCATTGCGTCCAGGGCCGGCCCTGGCACGGCTGGACCCTGTGAACCGGCCCGACCTGCTGCCCCAGGGGCAGGTGACCTCCGTCATCGACGTGGCCGGGTTCCTGACGCCCTCCGAGGAGAAGCGCATCGCGGCAGAGGTGGCGTCCCTGGAGGCCGACACGGGCTACAAGCTGCGCGTGCTGGCGCAGAACTACCCGGAGACCCCGGGTGAGGGCAGACGCGCTCCGGCGCCAAGGCCAAGCCCGGCAGTGATTGAGCGCACACGCGGCCTGTTGCTTGTGAAAGGTCAGGGCAGCTGGAGGGCACGCTGGACGAGTTGGACAGTAAGTGGTTAGAATGGGGCCTGGACCAGGCGGACTCAGGATGAGAAGTGGACGCGCACGCATGCAGCTGCTCGCCAACGCCCTGCTCATGACACACGGCCCCACTTCCTGCTGCACAACGCCGCCAGGCCTGGCCGTGCGTGAATACTGGGGCGTCGACGCCAACACAATCGTGTTTGTGGCGGACCCCACTTTTGCCAACATCCTGAACTTCAACGTGGGCCAGGGGCTCGACCTGGAGGTGCCACAGGTGGGGGGCGCTGCGGTGGGGCCGGGCAGCACAAGGGAGTTGCTGGCCGGGTGCACCCCTGGGTTGAACCTTCCCTCCCTGTTGCGGTGGGCTCACAGCCCGGCGCCGCCTTGTGTGACCGCAGAGCTTCTGGAGCCGGCTGGCCGGCAAGTATGGCAACAAGGTGTGGGGCTGGCGCGTGTGGGGTGGGGGGTGGGTCTGCACACCAAGGCAGCATGTGGCATGGCAGCAAATTGTAATGGTTCGACACTTGTGAGTTGAGCCGCACCAAGGCAGATGTGACACTGCGACACCTGTGTCTTGCACTGCCTGCTTGGCCATCAGCAACCCATCCCTCGGCTTCACACCCGCTCCCACTTGCGCGGGCACCACCCCGTAGTTTTATTGGCAGGAGAAGGGCGAGGCCGCGGCTATCACAAACGCAGTGAGTGGTGCAGCTGCGGAAGTGGGCGGCCAAAAGGGCCTCGATAGGGTGCTGCCCGTTGCGTTGTTCCCGGCATGGCATTCAGCCATCGCGCCCTGCCGAGGGAAGGAGCGTTGCACAATGTGCTGCACTGGGAACCATCCCCCAGACACAACCTTGTAACGGAGAAGCACTCCCGGACATACCCACACGCGCACGCACGCATGCACGCATGCACGCACACACGCACACACGCACGCATACCCAAACCCACAGGTCAGCGCCATCGACGCCTGCCTGCGTGAGCCCTCAGGGCGCAGCAAGTGTTCTCAGGTCCAGGCTGAGTTTGGGGAGCAGCCCAGCTCTGGCAAGTTCGGAAAGCTGCTGGGCCAGTAGCGTTGCATGCTTGTTACACCTCGACTTTGCCGCTCTTTTGCCTGGACGCGCGTGTTACGTAATCACAGTAGATCGAGTAACAGGTTGAAAGGTCTTGAACCAGGAAGTACTTCGAGTTTGCTCCGCTGTTATGACCCAACTCGAGCAGCCTCCTCGCCGCCGCCTCTGCTGTCATGCTGCTGTTGCTGCTGCTGCTCCTGCTGCTCCTGCTGCTGCTGCTGCTGCTGCTGCTGCTGCTGCTGCTGCTGCTGCTGCTGCTGCTGCGGCTGCTGCGCACCACCAACAGCTGCGTCCTCCTCCCGTGGCGGCCCTTGCGCGCCGTCGCCGCCGCCTAGCATGGCGTCCGCCAGCCCCCCGTAGAGCTCCACCACGCGGGCCACGTTAGCGTTAAGCTCGCGCACCAGGACCACGTTGCGCTGCAACGCCTCCGCCGTGCGCGTGCGGTGGTTGGCATCGATCTGTGCGATGAGAACCGCGTTGCGGTCCAGCACTTCCTGGACAGCCGCAAAGCGGTCAAAGCCCTCCCACTCGTCGCCGCCGGTGGCATCCAGGGCTGCCGCGGCGTCAGCAGGCGATGCTGCGCCCGCTGATGTTGCTGCGTCTCCCATACACGCTCTTGTTGGACAGCAGCTGTTCTGCCTTAACTCTCCTGGCCTTGTGCGCACAATAACGCGAACAATGTTCGGGTGTGCAGTACCGGGTGTGCTCTGGGGGTGCGCTGCAACACACGCGCCCGCTACCAACGGTAGTGAGCAGAGGCTTGCAGCAGGAGACCGTCTAGCGCCGATTACTGAGCTTGAACACGTGCTGGCGCACGTAGTCTCCTGGAGTGGCGCGGACGTGATCGGCTAGATCGGCATGCGAGCGAGCGCGTCTGTATTGAATAGTAAGAAATAATAATGCGATACATCAAATAATCAGAGCGCCCCGTAGCCGTTTCCCATTTCTCTTCCATGCGGAACCAGCACCGTGGGCGTGCGTGGCACCCGTCGTTGTCTGCATGACGGTTCGACCCACTTCTTCTTGTAGCTGACCTATCAGCGCTGCAGGATTCCCAGCATATACGTCTGGTGTGCGCCGCCGAGTGCTGTGGGCTCAAGAGGCGCGAGCAGGCACGAATAGAGCAGCAGGCAGCGCGTAGCGTCCGGGACACCGGCGCTGCGCACTCGTGGCGGCGCTGCGCCGCTGTCTCCATCGCGCCTGTGGCCTGAGAGAAGGCGGCACACTTCGCAGCCATGGCGCTCCGCACACTTGTGACGGGCAGCGACATGTGCTCTGCGGGGGGCGACGGCGCGGGGCCGTCCAACGCTGTCGGCGCGCTGGTGAACCAACTCCTGGGTGGCGCCGCCAAGACGCAGGAGCAGCTGCGGGACGTGAGCGGCCGGGGTTATGGGTCTGTTCAAGGAGCAAGGCATCTCCTGAGGTGCCGTGGAGCTGGCGAGTTATGCGCAGAGGTGCTCGGAGCCTAGACACGCCTACCTGCAATGCCAGCACCCTTTGCTGCAGCGCTGCACTTCTTTTTTACACCCTCTCTTATCTGCACTTCATGCTTCCATCCAACCCCGTACTCTGCAGCTGCCAGTGCACCATGCGCCGCCGCAGCTGCACCAGGTGCCGCTCACGCCTGAGGCGGCGGCCATGGCGGCGGCAGCTGGTTCCAGGGCCATGGTCCTGCCGGGGCTGCCCCAGGGCGCCGTGGTGAGCGCGGCAGCCATGCCTGGCGCAGCAGCCGCCCGCAGCGCTTTGGTGAATAGGCTCTGCCATGGCGCCTATCATACACGTCGTCACTGGGGTTCAGGAACGACGTACAGTTCATCGCAGCCGGTCTCAGGCTGTTGCAGAGCGCCCTGCCTGACCAGATGGTTCGCTGTCTGCCCCTCACTTCTCCTCCCCCTCCTCCTCCTCCTCCAGGGCCCTGGGACGCTGGACGCACTGCTGGGGGGCGCTCCTCGCATGGCGGGGCCCCCCGGGGCCGACGTGTCTGGCATGGTGGCAGAGTTTGAGCAGATGCAGCGCGCAGCGGGCCAGGTGGGCGGCACGCGGCACGGCTCAAGGCTTGACCGCCTACGCGCGAGTCGCTGCTGCGCACCTTATCATGCATGCGCACCCTTGCCTGGTTTGGGACCACCCGCGTTTTCGCGCCTGACGTCCCCTCCCCATCCCGGCGCCAGGTGCCCTTTGGGCCGCAGCCACCAGGCAGCGGTCCAATGTTGGCCGCGGCCCCCCCAGCCGTGGCACACAACCTCAGGGTGGGTCAGCGGGGAAGGCCCACGCAATTGCTGTGCCCTGCATGAGGCCATGAGGACCACCGTGCTGCATGTGCAGCCTGGCTGATCATCTCACTGCGGGCATGTGTGTTGTAATCACGGCGATGGTGTTGGCGCCTGCCAAGTCAACGTTGCGCTGAGTCAAGTTTCATTTTTACACCCCACCGCAAGCAGTGACTTCTGCTTCTCAAGGATCAGACACCCCATCCCCCCCCCCACATTTGCTTCAGGCCTTCTTCTCAAGCGCAGGCGCCCGCACCGGTGCCCCGCAACCACTCGCACCCCTGGCGCCCGGAGCCCTCTCAGTGGCCGACCAGTGCCGCGTGCGCGACCGCTCCACCATACTGGCGCGCCAGCTGTTTTCAGAGCAGGGCCAGGGCTTTGCCGATGCCCAGGTGGCGCGGCTGCTGGAGTCCCTGTCAGTTGACCCGCGGCAGCTGCCAGGGGGCCTGGCCCACGTCCACGATGAGGCCTGGCACGGCATATGGCAGCAGAGGCAGCAGGCGGGGCCACTGGTGGCCGCGGACGTGGCGGCGGCGCAGCATGCAGCGGCGCTAGAGGCCGTGTGGCGGGAACAGCAGCAGCAGGCAGCACGGCCATGGTGGGTGGGGCCCTTGATGTGCCGGTGGGCTGCGGTTGATCTTGGAGGCTGGGAGCTGTTTGGGTTCATCACGCTCCCAAAGGTGCCCCTCCCCGCGCCCTCCCACCGCACAGCATGCCCCCACCTCATTGACCCCACACCCCCCCTCCCCACCCCCGCCAGGCAAATGCCCCATGTGCCGTCAACGGGCTGGGCTGATGAGTTCGCGCAGAAAGGCTGGGCGGATGAGTTTGAGCAGCAGCAGCAGCAGCAGCAGCAGAAGCAGCAGCCGGCGGGGCCGCAGTCGTGGGCAGAGGAGTTCACTCATGGCGAGGGCGAGAAGTGGGCTGGAGAGTTTGAGGCCGCAGCCGCGGAGACCGCCGCGGCCGCGCGGCGCTCCGCCGGGCCAGGGGAGGCCATGGCCGCCACGCGGCGCATGGTGGAGGTGCTGGGCGCAGATGCCGACCCCAAGATGCGCAACAGCCAGTTTCTGCAGTTCCTGTCCAAGATGTCGCGGGGGGAGCTGCTGCTGGAGGAGGGCGGCCTCAGGGAGGTGGACCCCGCGGCAGCCGCGGCCGCGCGGCAGTGGGCCGACGAGTTCGACGAGCGGCAGCAGCAGCAGCAGCAACGCAGTGCCGGCGGCACCGCGTGGGCGGACGACTTTGCGAGGCAGCAGCAGGCGCCGTGCGCGCAGCAGCAGGGGCAGCGGGCGGCGGGGGGCGACTGGGTGGATGAGTTTGCGCGCGGCGTGGCTGACCTGGACATCGGGGGCGACGCGGCCCAGGAGGACCTGGACGCAGCCTGGGCTGCCATAGGGTCGGGTGCGGTGCCGCTGGCCGGCGCCGCGGACTGGGTGCGCGAGTTTGGCGGCGACGAGGCGGGCGCGGTGGGGGCGGCACCGGAGGAGTGGGACGCGCTGTACGCAGACGCGCAGCGCGGCGCCGGGGCGGCGGCGTCTGCGGCGGCGCGGGGGCGGGAGTACGCGTTCACCGACCCCAACCCGTTCCTGGGTGACCCCCAGGCCCTGGCCAAGGGCAAGGACCTGTGAGCAGCCTGCAGGGGGGAAGTGTAGTGGGGCAAACGGCGCGCTGTGGTTGGGGCCTCGAGGTGCTGTGTTCGTTGTGTGCCCATACATCTGCTTGGTGGTGCACACCATTAAGCAAGGTACCAATCATCGCTGAGCTCAACTTTGCTTGCGTCTGCAACTGGCTGCACTGCATGCGGCTTGACACCCATCAGGTCAATGTTTCAGGCTAGGCCTCCCACATGGTGAGCATGCGCACATCATCCACTCTGCCTCGTGTCTGTCCCCCCAGGTTCAGGCGCGGCCTGCTGACGGAGGCGGCCCTGGCGCTGGAGGCAGAGGTGCGGGCGCAGCCAGGCAACTCCGAGGCATGGCGGCTGCTGGGCACTGTTCACGCCGAGAACGACGATGATCAGCAGGCCATAGCCGCCATGGGTGAGTGCAGGCGGCCCGTGCACGTTGAGCAGGGGGAGGCAATGGTGTATTGTCATCAAGGGCAGCAGCCTGTTCAGGCACAAATGCCCAGGGCTGGGCTGCAGTCAAGCTGCGTGCAGCAGTCAGCAAGTGCCATGCTTGCCGGCAGGTGCCCTGTGACGCGCTTTGTGAACGTTTTCATGACACGCGACGCCCCACCCCGGGACCTCGCAACCACACACACATGCACTCTCTTATTTCTTTACACACGCGCGCGCACACACACCCACTCACACCCACATACCCCCAAACATACACCCCTACCTCGACAGGCCGAGCCCTGGGGGCTGACCCCTCAGACCTGGGCGTGCTGCTGTCCCTGGGCGTGAGCCACACCAACGAGCTCGACCAGGCGGAGGCCGTCACACACCTCTCACGATGGCTCGCGGCACACCCATCCTACGCCGCAGCCGCCGCCGCCGCGGGTCCGCCCCCCGAGAGCAGCCAGGTTCTGAGCCACACGCTGCGCACCTTCAAGGCCGCCGCGGCCGCCCACCGCGGAGACTCTGAGCTGCTGATTGCGACGGGCGTGCTGCAGCACCTGGGGCGCGACTACGACGGCGCCATTGCGTCGTTCAGGGCGGCCCTGGACCTGGCCCCGGGGGACTACAGCCTGTGGAACAAGCTGGGCGCCACCCTGGCCAACCACAGCCACAGTGGTGAGGCCATATCGGCCTACCAGCGCGCACTGGACCTCAAGGTGGGGCCATTTGGGGGGGGGGG